GAGGGAGACTCTGTCTCAAAATAAAATAAAATAAAAAAATAATAGAACTTATTTGGCCACATGCAGTATATCGAAACAAGTGCCTGAACACTTAAGCTCTTTGAAAAACTGGCCTATTTTAAAGGTTTTAACTAGAATTGTAGAATTCCCTGAGTATGTCTGTATATGTCTCTATTGCCTTCTTAGAAATTTACGTTAAATATACCAAATTGCCTATATTTATTAAAGTGGCACAAGGTAACAAATACATTTAAACACAAGATTTTCAATAATTTTCCAACATGTCAGCTTAAGTAGATTGGTCTAGAATATGCATAAAAGAGAATTCAGTGGCTTTCTGATTTGTGTAGGGAATGCCCTTCAGCAGACAGTGCTTAGCTCATGGAATAACATATCATCATCCTAAAACAGATCCCTGAATTTTAGACTTCAAAGTTATTTTGTAAAACAATGTCAACTAACAGACAAGGCACTAGACTACAGCTACATTTTTGGTGTTCATAGCTTTTCTTATCTTAGTTTGAATTAGTCCAACTCACCAGGTATGACCAGGTCAATTTTCTTGTCATTGAGCCCTGGTGATCAACATTATGTTATGTTTTATTTGTTTTGCTGAAGTGTTTAATGTTGTGGTAGTTTGAAATCTTTAATGCCAAGATGAGCATGAGTATCTAAACTGAAATATTTTAGTCTTGAATGTTCCTTAATGTTTCTCTAGTGAAAGAAGAGTTTCTCGTTCTTTTGAATGACTGCATTTAGAATATCTAATCGGCTGAACCCGGTGGCTGCTCATGCCCTGTAATCCCAGCACTTGGGGAGGCTGAGGCATGCAGATCACTTAAGCTCAGGAATTCAGGACCAGCCTAGACAACATGGCGAAAAATACAAAAATTAGCCGGGTGTGGTGGCATATGCTGATGGTCCTAGCTACTCAGGAGGCTGAGTTGAAAGGTTGACCCTGGGAGGTGGAGGCTGCAGTGAGCTGTGATCACGCCACTTCACTCCAGCCTGGGTGCCAGAGTGAGACCCTGTCTCAAAAAGAAAAAGAATATCTAATTATGTCATAATCTTTTTTCTTAAGAGACAGTCTCTCTCTGTCACCCAGGCTGGAGTATAGTGGTGCGATCACAGCTCACTGCAGCCTTGAACTCCTGGGCTCAAGCAGTCTCCCACCCACCT